ACATACTCCAGTTAGATTCAATTTAAATTTCACTTAGACTCAAATTTGAATGTAGATAGAGATAGAAGTGAAAGCCAATTAGAAAAAGAATTGACTTAGAGTTTAGTTTTAAATTCCAGTTAAATCAAAATAGCCAAAACCAAACTAATAAACACACAACAAGTTCAGACCCATGTGGAGAGGGACCCAGGACAGGAGAGGCTGGACAGGAGACATAGGTCTGAACTGTTTTTTAGTTTTTGTGTACTTTTTGGCAGACCAGCCAAAACCAAAAAACAAAAAAACGAAACGTTCAGACCCATGGAGAGGGACCCAGGAGAGGCTGGACAGGAGACATCGGTCTGAACTTTTGTTTTTTGTTTTTGGTGACTTTTTGGCAGACTTCAGACCCATGCAGAGGAACCCAGGAGAGGCTGGACAGGAGACAGAAGTCTGAACTTTTCGTTTTGTTGTTTTTGGTCACTTTTTAGCAGACCAGCCCCCCCAAAAAACAAGTTCAGACCCATGGAGAGGGACCCAGGAGAGGCTGGACAGGAGACATAGGTCTGAACTTTTTCACGAAAGCGCCTGCGAAGGGTTTCTTCCAAAGGACATTTGCTCACATCATCTTCCAACATAATCTCCTACTACTACTACTACTACTACCCCTACAACCCCTACTCCTACTCCTACTCCTACTCCTACTCCACTCCTACTCCTACAACAACAACTACTACTACCACTACTACTCCTACAACAACAACAACAACTACTACTACTACCACTCCTACTACCACTACTACTACTACTACTACTACTACTATCACTCCTATTACTACCACTACTACTACTACTGCTACTGCTGCTACTACTACTACTACTACTAGTCCTCCTACTACTACTACTCCTACTACTACTACTACTCCTACTACCACTACAACAACAACTACTACTACGACGACAACAACAACAGCTACTACTACTACTACTACCACTACTACTACTACTACTACTACTACTACTACTACTAACACTTCTAACACTTCGAAACCATCATCATCACCCACTAAATCTCACCTACGAAAAACACTTCTAACATTTCGATTCGAACGCACTATAATTTCTTTCTACTCTTAAGGCGGCGGGCAGGTCCGGCCGGAGCTCACGAAACGTGACCGGGATCGTGCGCGTCGAGCGCTCAAACGTGTGGTGTAACGTCGATCGCGTTTGACCTGGAGCGACCCTCTGCGGGGATCGCGCGTGTCGAGTGCTCAGACGTGTGGTGAACGCGAATTTGGTTTGTGCGCGGCTGACCCTCTGCGGGGATTGTGCGTGTTGAGTGCTCAAACGTGTGGTGAAACGTCGATCGCGTTTGTGCCCGACCACCCCTCTGCAGGGATCGTGCGTGTCCAGTGCTCAAACGTGTGGTGAAACGTCGATCGCGTTTGTGCCCGAGCAACCCTCTGCAGGGATGGCGCGCGTCGACGCGTGACTTTTGGAGGAAGTCTCGTACGAACGCTCGTTTTGGAGACTTGGCGCTTCACTTTTGGAGGAAGTCTCGTACGAAACGCTGGTTTTGGAGACTTTGGCGCTTTACTTTTGGAGGAAGTCTCGTACGAAGCGCTCGTTTTGGAGACTTGGCGCTTCACTTTTGGAGGAAGTCTCGTACGAAACGCTCGTTTTGGAGATTTGGCACTCTCGTCCGAAACGCTTGTTTTGAACACTTGGCGCTTCACTTGTGGAGCTGGACGTGCGGGAAAGAGCTTTTCGGAGCTGGACTCAGAAGTGGCAGAAGTGGCCAGTTTGTAGTACAAATGTAGTGCGGGAAAGAGCTTTTCGGAGTCCACTCAGACCTGGCCAGTTTGTAGTACAAAAGTAGTACTACCACTTCTTGCTCCCTGGAAGGCCAGTCTTGAAGGCCTTGAAGACTCACGTCAACTACATCGATGACACCGTGAAGGTTGCGAAGGTGAGTGGAAGCCAATCACCATGGGTCCACGACAAGAACGTCTCGTCAGGTTGGATGACGACCTCACTTCGCAGAAGCTCACAGGTCCCTATGCCTTTGACTACGTCCTTGAGGAGACCTACAACATATGGACGCAGCGACCACCTGACACACAACAGTCTCCTGAGCATTACACACTCTGGCACTACCTGGAGCTGACAGGCCAAACAACGCCAGACCTCCAATCGGAGGAAGCACTGCGCGGCGATGACCCAACAGAGCAACAGGAGACATCCAGCGACAGTGACAGCAACGAAACATCTGATCCATCCAACATGGATGACGATGACACCACACACCGGCGTGCCCTGACCGACAAACTGGTCCGCACCTGAGACTACATCAACAGCAACAAGCATTGCGTCGCAAAGCAACCGTGGATGAAGTTCTTGCTGACAATGAAACCAGAACAATGCAGTTCTGGAAATCTACTCTGGCAACGCCAAGTGGGCAACCGCCATGGCCAAGGCGGCCAAGAAAGGATACCAGGTCAAGACCTTCGACGTCCTGAAAGGTTGGGACTTCACCAAGACCAGCCATCAGCGAGACTTCAATCATCTCTTCTACCACGCAGCGCCCGAAGCCATCTGGATCGCACCTCCTTGCACCAAGCGGTCGCCTACGCAGCGACTCAACATCAAGACGGAGGCCGACAAAGAGCGACTCGAACAACAAACAACGCAAACAGCAACGCGTCTCATTCTTTGAGCACCCCAAGTACGCACAGTCCTGGGAGACACAATCTCGACCAATGCCAGTACGGAGCCACCATGCCAGACCATGACGGCGTTGAGCAATACATCCGCAAACCCGCAAGATTGAAAATCACGTGAACCCCAAGCAGAACACTTTGAAGGACTTTGCACTGATGACCACTACCACCTCCCACTGGAAGGCAGTTCTCCCAACATTGGCAGTCGAGCCGCAGCTGGAAGCTACCATCCACAGATGTGCGAACAGTGGGCCAACATCTTCCATGACTTCACGCAGCACGACTTCTGGCCTGACGAACCGACAGGAGCAATACAAGCAACAGCGGAGCAAACAACTGCAGACGCCGCCGTCGCTGGAGAGCAACAGAGAGCGTGCACCATTCATGGAACAGGATGATGACCAGATCGACAACAACCGTGGCGTCCCCGCAAGGCTGCAGGAGACCCAACTGGCAGCGCCGAACCGTACAGCGACTACCTCGGAACCTCAGCCATCCAACCAACTTGGAACAGACTGGCAAAGGTGCTGAAGACAAAGAATGCCAGCGCCTCAATCCTTCTAGCAGCACGAGAACATACACGCCAGCGACGTGATGCCCACCGAGCACCAGCGCAAGTTGCCAAGAGCGCCTTGCGAACAGGCGGCAGCTTCAACACCAGAGTCCAAGCGGACACCGTGTGGATCCATCCTCCACGACGACGCAGCCGAGACAAACCGCCTCCAGTTCCAGTGTTGTCCATCGTACACACCACGACCAAGTTCACGCGCCACGCAAACGCACTTTCCACCAAGGCGCCGCTAATCCGCCTGGCATTGCGACATCACTAACGTAATTTGGCCACACGGTCTGCCCACCACAAGCATGATATCGCACGATACCGCCAATCATCCCGCTCACCAGCGACGCACCGCGTTTAAGCATGTTTCGCGCTCCCCGGTGGCACGGCGCCACGCAAACGCACTTCCCACCAAGACCTCGCAAATCCGCATGGCGCTGCGACATCGCGAACGTAGTTCGCCACACGGTCTGCCCACACACTACAAGCAGTCAATATATCGCACGATACCGCCAATCATCCCGCTCACCAGCGACACGCCGCGTTTACATCAGCATGTTTCGCGCTCCCCAGCGCCACGGCGCCGCGCAAACGCACGACCCACCAAGGCCGCGCAAATCCGCACGGTGCGACACCACGAACGTAATTTCGCCACACAGTCTGCCCGCGCACTGCAAGCAATCATATCACACGACGCCGCCAATCATCCCGCTCACCAGCGACACGCCGCGTTTACACCAGCATGTTTCGCGCTTCCCAGTGGCACGGCGCCGCCCAAAGCGCACTTCGCACTAGAAGCAGTCACATCACATGATACCGCCAATCATCCACGCAAACGCGCTTTCCATGCACCAAGGCCGCGCAAATCCGCATGGCGCTGCGACATCACGAACGTAGTTTTGCCCACTCTCGTTGTGGCGCCGTGTGCATTTTCGGACATGGTGGTCGCTTCTCGTGGCAGGCGCAAGGGAAACAGGCTTGGCTCAGAAGTGGCCAGTTTGTAGTGCAAATGTTGTACGGGAAACAGCTTTTTGGAGCTGGACTCAGAAGTGGCCAGTTTGTATAGTGCAAATGTAGTGCGGGAAACAGCGTTGCGGAGCTGGACTCAGAAGTGTTTGCTTCTAGTGTGGTATGATTCCTTCTAGTGTGTGGGCAGACTGTGTGGCGAATTACGTTCGTGATGTCGCAGTGCAAGAGGTCTTGGTGGAAAGTGCGTTTGCGTGGCGCCGTGCCACTGGGGAGCGCTAAACATGCTGGTGTAAACGTGGCGTGTCGCTGGTGAGCGGGATGATTGGCGGTATCGTATGATATGATTGCTTGTAGTCTGCCCGCCGCGGCCAACCAGATTCTGCGAGCCTGCGCAGTCGAAATGCACTTTGAGCATTTCGAGAAGCATGAATGTACTGTTAAATAGCAGCGAATTAGCCGGACGCCCCGGTGCAACACCTCGATTAGACGCCGGTGCTTAACCATTACCGTAAGAACCCCTAGTGTGACCACACTGTTTGGGAAATGATGTTTTTTCATTTCCATTTTGTTATATGTTGGGATTTGGGCCCCTTTACGACCACCCGGGGCGTTGTCATAACCTATGCTTCGCAATGATAATGAGGCCGCAAAAAATCCGCGAACAATTTCCCGCTTGGCCATTCCAGGATGAAAGAATATTGATCAACCACAATGTAAATTATATATATTATATATGTTTTTTTCACTACTCGTGAGTCGACAGAAAACCTGAGGTGGCATATGCGTGGGAGTTTCCGGAAGTGGCTGTGCTCTAGGCGATGCACAGCGACCAGAGCTCTTCGTCTGAGAGCTCAGGCACTCAACACTCCCAGTTTTCTTCAGGAAGCCGACTCTCGTCCTCAGTTTTTGTTTGTGCATATCAAAACGGATGAGTTGTCGAGTTGCTATTGTATTTTTGAGTGTTGAGGTGAAAATGTTGATCGTAGAGATTTTTGGCAGTGCCTTGGGGCTTTTTGGTGTGATTGCCTGGAGCTAAGCTGAGTCTAAAAGCACACATGGAAAGCAAGCTCCGAGTGCCGAGTTTTGTTGCGTTTTCGAGGTTGGCATCATCCAGGCCAGGTGGGAGAATCTTGTTTCCATTTCTTTCATCTCAAAGCGTCGGAAGCTTTCACGTTCGGACCGGTTCCAAAAACGATATAACATGTTGTTACATTTTGCAGAATCTCCTTGAGGCCAACGGAGCCACGTTTCCAAAGATCCTGAGCTGACAACCTGTCTCGGGCTGCGCATCGTAGCCGGGTAAGGGTGCGCAGTGCTTTGCAAAGTCATAATAAACACAAGCAACGAGTTGAACGTGCAAGCAAGTGCATGAAGAAAGGCAACCAACACTAAGCGTGAAGGTTTACTTACACATGGAAGCAAGCCTTTGAGCACTGACGCGGTTTGATGTTTTTTGTTTCTTTAAGCACATTTGCTGTAATTAGAATTACTCGCATTTGCTTAGTTTTAGACTTCAGCAAAAATCTAAATTTAAAAGCTGCAACCGCTTGGCATGTGGAGGCATGCGATCATGCAAAACATGCCTTTCGCTCACCGGCCCAGGGTGTTGTCCGGGCTTGAACACTGTGCAGCATTCATTATTGAGGTTCCATTGCCGCTAAGCGCGCCAAAAAGTGGAAGCCGTCTCAAGAGCACTGGAAACGCTTGCTGTATCTTGCTGTCAGATTTGTTGAAGGAATCAGTCTGGCAGATTCTTAGAAGGACGGTTTGTTGATATCTATGGACTGGATATGTTTTTTGTTTTTGTTGCCTTCCCATCTACAAACACATGGGGTATATGTCATACACACATAATCACACATATATGAGTATGACTCTGACTGTATATACACATGCACAGACCCTACATCCACCCATGTACGGACACATGCCCACCCATCACCCATGCAGACTGTCTCGTGGCTCAGCAACTTACTTCGCTTCACGGAAGGACTACCAGACATTGCTGTCCTTCGTTCGCCAGCCCTGGCAGTTTGCGGAGGTGCAGGTTCCATCAAGACCCAGCTTTTGCTTTGGTGTCCCTTGCCAATTATGTCTGCCAAGGCACACGTGCCAATTTGTTCTTTGTGTGCAATCAAGCCTCGCAGCCTCGCCCCAGTTCTGAGGTATCCGAGGGCACGGAGGATCATCCTATTGAATTGCAGCGATCCAAGACCGAACAGGACTTTTGTGCTTGTCGAGAGCATGCTACCATGCTTCACAGTTCTTGAATTGTCTCATGCTTGTCAGGACTTTGCTCGCAGGCTCCCACAAGTGCTGCAATCAAAGGAAGTGCAGGACGATATGTGCGAAGGACGCCCAAGATCATCTACGGTAACCTGAGTTTTTCAAGTGCGTTGCCCAAAGTGGCTTCGCTCGTGGAGCTCGCTGAGCATTGGGCTTTGCAGCGCAAATGCTGCTAACCCGACTTATTTATGCAGCGCGCTGCTGCCAAAGAGACCAAACCAGCCACAACCGTCCAAGCCCCAAACAGGCCATTTGCAACCAAGTGTTGGATAGTTGAAGCCTTTCTACTGTATTGACAACCATGCCCGTAAAACTGCACAGGCTTGTCAAGCCCTGACGAGGCAACTTGTTGAGTGCATGACCATAGCTAGGATTGGGGTTGGCTTCTGATATGTTTTGTTTGAGATGCACTTTGTGTCAGACTGCAAATCAAAATGACAAAGGAACGGACGCCAATCAAGAGCATGAGGTCAACAAGTATTTGCTGTTCCTCCGGATTGTCCTTGCAGAGATGTTTAAGGTCGGTTCGTTCTGGGAAAGCCAATCGTCAGAATGCTGGTATGTTTAGATGAAGGCCTATCGAACATATACACATATGCGTGGACATGGACATACAACGACATACATGTAGACATACAATCGCCATACACTATATATATATACACCTAGACTTTTGTTGCTATTTCTTATTGAAAAAGCAGTGAGCTGTTTATAAGTAAGAGCAATTAGGGCATGAGTGATGGTGGCCGACCATTTTGGGGTTCGCCTTTTTCCCGAGAGCGTCTGCGAAGGGTTCTTCGTAAAAAATCATCTGCAGAACTACGTCTCATCTACATCTTCACATCTTCACCTCTGCACATCCACATTCTCACCTGATCTCACCTGTATCTCTGCTCATCTTCACATCTACATTCACAACTGCACATCTACATCTCTGCTCATCTTCACATCCTTACATCTACATCTCACATCTGTACCTCTCATCTACATCTCACATCTTCACCTCTCGCTCTTCTTAACTTTCTCTCTTAAGGCCGGGGGCAGTACCGCCGGAGCACCACGAAACGCAACCCTCTGCGGAGATCGTGCGTGTCGAGCGCAAAAAATGCAGGGGAGAGTGCGATTTGTCCCGGTCGCGGGCAACCCTCTGCGGAGATCGTGCGTGTCGAGTGCGCGAAATGCAGGCGAGAGTGCGATTTGGGTTTGTCGCGGGCAACCCTCTGTGGAGATCGTGCGTGTCGAGGGCGCGAAATGCAGGCGAGAGTGCGATTTGTCCCGGTCGCGGGCAACCCTCTCCGGAGATCGTGCGTGTCGAGTGCGCGAAATGCAGGTGAGAGTGCGATTTGGTTTTGTCGCGGGCAACCCTCTGCGGGGATCGTGCGCGTCGAGCGCGCGAAATGCAGGCGAGAGTGCGATTTGTCCCATCGAGGCCCTGGAGGCCTTGAAGTACCTGGAGCTGTCAGGAGCTGTGTGCGTGGACATGTCCAAGCAGCCTGCGGGGCCGGTGCTTGCAAGTGCGCCTGCAACGGGTTGACCGCTTCAGGCGATAGATGTTTTGTGAAGAGATCTCGAAGACCCTGGACTGGTCACCGTACAAGAAGTGGATGAACACTGTGTGCCCAGTAGCGAGCAGACTGCCTTGAAGACGTGGACCCAGAACCCATGCGAATGTGCAGCAGGTGCAAATTCTTTGAGGGCAAAGATGCTGGAGTACCGCAGGAATGGGCCTTGCAAATTGAAGCAGGCAGCTCCTTGGAAATGTGGGCAAGGGGCAAAGATGTTAGGGCCAGCAAGGCCTTCATGGGCAGTTATCAAGGTCAATATCCCGCAGCGGCTTTGGACTTGTCACACCCCCGTCAAGCGCAAAGGTTGGGAAGATCGGGTGCGACAGTTGGCTGAAGCTCGTGTCCGTGACACAAGTCACAAGTCATTTTACGCTTCAGCAGGGTGCGCAAGCAGGCCACTGGTCAGCCAACAAGCCTCGCAATTTGGCCATCAATGGCCACTTCGCAAGAAGGATCGAAGCCTGTTCCGCTCGCGAAGAGATCGCCGAAAGGCAGCTGCCAGCTGTCCGGGCATGGAGGGCTGCTGGATCAAGCTCTCTCGTTGACGCAGCAAAGAAGCCTTGAAGCAAGACAAGCACCGATATGGAACTTTCCAGCGCATCGCCTTCTCCAGAGAGGTGATCATCTCGAATGCAGCTGGAAGACGCCCGGAATGCCAGTTATGTAGGGCATTCCGGGCACCGTCGTAGACATCGTGCGCAGGACGCCCGCTTTGGGCAAGTGTGCTGCCGGAAGCGCTGGCTGGAAAGAAAAAAGAGAGAGGAGGGGGGGGGGGGGGGGGGGAGAGAGAGAGAGAGAGAGAAGAGAGAGAGAGAGAGAGAGACTGAGAGAGAGAGGGAGAGAGAGAGAGAGAGCGTGCAAGTCTGGCTCTTGGAAGAGAGGGCCTTTGACTTGCTCCTGGCTTGTTTGTGGGCGCTGGTGTGAAATTGGGCGAAGAACCCTCTATACATCAGAGCGCTGGACGGAGTGACAGAAGAGCTAGAAGGATTGGAGACAGATGGCGACGCTGCAAACTATGTGGGCGCGGCCGGCGATCAAGCAGGCCCGGTTGATCCTCAACACTCAACGGCGCAATCTATGCGGAGCTTGGTGTGCGCAATGACATGAAGCTCAGCGCCGCGGACCACAGGGATGCGCGCAGCGTCTCATGCGGAGGACACGGTTGCGCGCACGAGGGTTCGAGTGTCCGAAGCAATTGACACTGCAGCAGAAGTTACAAGACGACAAGCTTTGGCAGAGTCAGGCGTGGCAATTTACCTGGCTCGGACCAAGGTCAAGTGCCCCAGCGTAATCAGTGCGACGTTGCCCAACATCATAGCAATTCCTACACGTGCCCCCAAATATCATAGCGTTTCCTACGCGCGCCGCGCATTGATGTCAGGAGGTCTATGGACCTCTGCTTGGCTGAGCGCGCCACACTTGCTAAGAAATGGCGCTTGCGCCAGCAAACTAAAGTTGACCCTCCTACACCCTTTGAGGTCACCCTGGCTAATCTTTTTTTGCATTTTTGAAATTGTTTTGGTTGCAATAATGTATTCATATTCCAGAAAAATGGTCACAAATAAGATTTAAAGCGATTAGGAATTATTCGCATAAGAGTAAAAGTGACACAAATATGATTAAACATGATTTTGAACAAAATTTCCAACCAAGTAAAAAGTATGAGTGAACAGTGAACCAAACGTGTTTTCACGAGTAAGTCCACGAGTGGGGCCACGAGTGACGTTGCAGTGAGCTTGCAAACAAAGTGAAAGTTCAACATTTCCTTTTACGATATGTTGCGAGTCAAGCGACAAGTCAACTTAAATTACTATACGGAATGAAAGAAGTACTAAGTACAAACGGTTCCTTTACGATAGTCGACGAGGCCAGGAGCACTGTGCTGTTACTCGTTATACAATCCCTGACAGCGCAGTGCTCCTGGCCTCGTTGAAAGTTTTTGAAAGTAGCAAGTTTTGACTGAAGAGCTCTGTGCCTCTGTGCTGGCAGGGATTGTGACAAAGTAAGGTTTTTGAAACTAGTCAAGTATTGGCTGAAGGCATTGAGTAATCTTTTGAAATAAGTTTTGGCTGCGCTGGCAGGGATTGTAAGGTTTGTGAATAGTACTTGGACGCCCGTCGTGGTTGCTAAACCTCAGCTGTCTCATTTACTACATCTTTAGCCTACTTATAAACACATTTAGCACTCGTTTGCGCCACTTAGCTAAACATGTTTATACCACTTCTGTAACCATGTTTAGTGCCTTTGTAACCATGATTAGATAAACGCGATAACCAGGACTAACCCTAAAAATATGAGCCCGCATATGGTCTCTTTTTGACATTCCGCGTCGCGTTTTTTGGCAAAAGCGCGAGCTCTGCGTGCGCCCTGCGCTATGCGAGCTCTTGCAAGAAGCCCTGCGAGTCCTGGCCGTGGCGGAGATTACCGGACACCGGCGCCACGTCGTGGAGGCAGGGCGCCACGTTTTGGAAAGCCGCGCTGATCAGAAGCAGGGCCTGCACTTGTGGCTCGCGTATTTTCTGACCATGCAGGGCCAGCAACGGCTCGCTTCAAGGTATATAGATCTTTCTCGGATCCACAAGGCACATCGACCAGGACCACGGTGATCACCTGGCAGAAACGAGCGATCGAACGATGGAACGACGAAACGAAATGACGAGAATCGATCGAACGGTGCGCTGCACAGAAAACATGAAGTTCCTGCGTGTAAAAAAGGAGGCCTGTCACGCAAGTGGGTTGCAAAACGTCAGGTTCCATGTCAAAAATGAAGCCTGTCATGCAACATGGGTGCAATCTTTTCAAGGGATCACGGTTGCCACGTCTCCACCGACATAAAACGGAATTGCCCTTTGAAGGCTTTCTGTCGGCACCAATTCTGGTGCCTCAGTCATTCGGAACTGATTGGGGCCTGCAGGCTTCCACTTGGAAACGACTGAGTGAAATGAAGCGCCACTGACTTCTGACGCAACCTGCAAATGGAACCAGATCTCAACCATGTGCGCGCTAGTCGGCGCACAATCTCCACGCGACGTGTTCTCATAGTTGCAAAGGGCGTCGAAAGAAACAAACACTTCAAAGCTCGAGTCCAAAGTGTGGCCAAGGTTTCGTTGCAGCTCCATGGTCAACTCTGCAGAAGCTTTCAAGGGATTGTGAAGCACTACCCCAGACTTGCAGTCCCATTCGTTTGTCTCCAGCAGCTGCGCCAAGACCACCTCTTCTAAGATGCCCCTCTCCCACGACACTTTCCTGTTGGCGTTCGTGCTGTGATTGCCATGTCTTTTGAGCTGTCGGTGCTTCCTTTCATGCGCCCAACAACTCGTCAATTGGCCGTCTCGGGCCAGAAACGACGGCAAGTGAAGGCTATAGTGAGCCTTGGGTTGCATACACGCCGGTCCGTACGCGGCCAGGCGATCGCAAAGGTGACTCTCAATGCGTTGCCGCAACTTCTCAGCATTTCAAGTTTATATCTATAATATTTTGTTGCGTTTACTCCTTGTTTAAAACTCGGCATGACTTACAACGGTTTCGTTCCAAACGAGCAACTGTTTGTCAGATGCCCTGTCAAAGCGTGGCAACACAAGGAACACACCATACTTCTTTAGACTTCGAATGAAAGCTGAAACCGTTCCAAACGAGCAGCTGTCTGTCAGCTGCCCTGTCAAAGCAAACCCAATCCCAGTTTCACAACTTTTCTCCTTTCACAGTGAACCCCCTGCACACCCTTCAATCAATTATCAAGAAAATTGACACCAAACACATCTAAAAATAGTGGTCAAACGTTGAAGGAACCGTGTCAAGGGTCAACGGGCGAAATGCTCTCTGATCGGGTCCTCTGGAGAAGATCCAACACCGCAGCCAAACTGTAGTAAGACCTGATGGCCTTGCCTGCTTCTCCAACAGATGATGTTTCAGCTTCTCAACAGCCCTGATGCCACTCAAGCTTCTGGACGACATC